TAAACGGGCTTTATGCACAGCTGCACTACTTCGTGAACTTCAGCCAGCTCCTTGTTTCCTGTCTGCCATTATTGGCTAAATTGATTAATCCAGGTGTGCCTGACCTCAGTAGTCACGGCAACAATAATCAGACACACCTGAATTAATCAATTTGGCCAATAATGGCAGACAGGAAACAAGGAGCTGGCTTAAGTTCAGAAAGTAGTGCAGCTGTGCATAAAGCCAATTGGGGTTATTCACTAGCCTGGGTTTCCCCATGCTGCCTTTCCGCAGCGCGATTTTATTCACGCTGCCAGGCAGCCTGGACACCATGAACCAAATTCTCCCCTGAAATAGGGAACCAATCACAGAACGGGGAGGGAGCACAGGCGCATTTGATAGACATTCGTAGCACCCAATAATACGGCTCTGGGCATTCGTAAACCATGCCTCAAATACGAGAAAATTAACATGTGGTTTCCAGACTACGTCTCATTCTAAAGAATACGTGGTCTGGCGTTAGCCAGGCTAATTATTCACCATCTCCCCTACATTTAGATAGGTGGGCAAATGCATTTTTGTCTCAGTGCATGCAATGTCTTGGTTTGGCTGTGCTGCTGCTAGCTTAGCTTAGCATAATGAATGGAATCCTATGTTGTCCGGTAGCATGTTGTGAGTAAAAGTGATCAAAAAATACTTCTTTTGGCCTGCTTCTTCACAACGAGTAGAATAGCAATGCAGATTAACACTTGGCAATTTCCTGGGCAGAGATTGATTTGGGACTATATTGGAGTAAAGCACAGGTGAAGCACTGCTTCACGGCTAAAGTAATGATTATGCATGAAACATTTGAATTGTTTATTAATAAACTAGTTTTTTCAGTCAGTGGCTACAAACATAAAGTTCATGATGCAGACTCACAATCTCCGCAGTAGTGAACGGCCTATAGAGAGAAATGCATACTTCATATGAACTAGCTATGCAGAGAGTAGCCAATTTCTACTTCACACACCAGAGCATGTGAGCAAAGTGGAGCAGTGTGATGCTTAAATATAAGTAAAACAAACTTAAACATAGCCTACGTTTTATATATATTTATGTTTAAATAATATAATGTTATTTTTTAAATTTCATCTATGTTGATTAAATGAAAAGGAAACCGCATGAGATGAGTAAGATATAGGCTAGGATCGTAGAATAGCATCAGTATGTCACTCAGACTTAATGGTTACAATTTTTTTAGATGGCAGTTTTTGTTTTACTTATTTTTGTTTACTTTTGTTTTACTTGTTTTACTAAATTACTTAATATTTTAGCTCCTTTTTCTTTCCATGTGAAAAAATGGACAAGCAAGTTAAGAAAAATAGAAATAATTTTTAGAGTTTAGAGAGAATTTAGAGTTGTAGCTTCTGCTAAGAAATGAGTTTTCACTTATCTCTTAGATTTAAGATAGCCAAAATGTCTTACTGTATTGTTTTGTTTTCATTACAGATTGACAGCTTGGTAATTGGAGAAATAGATGATGCCACTATGTCTGCTTACATTCCAGCATATGGTGATAGGATTGCTGCAAGACGTTTCTGTATGGAAAAACAGAGAAAAGGTGGTGATGATCTAAGAAGACTGTCCTTATTTGAAAAACTTAGAAAAAAGATGGGCACATTGACAAGCAGTAAAGACAAAGAACATGATCATGATTTTGAGCAGGAGCATTCTATGCAGTCAACAAAGATGCATCTGAGAAATAACAAAAAGGCCGTGAAGATGACAAGGAGAATAGAACTAGGATGGATACACGACAAGAAACAAGTGAGAAAACGCAATGGTGGAGGAACCAGAGTTCTTGATATTTCCAAGAAAGCCACAAAAAAAGACATTTTATCACAAGCTAAAAAGCTATTTTTCCCCAATGAGAAGTCGAGAAAGGGAAAGTGGGAAGAGTTCACTCACAACATTGTTGACTTTCAGGAAGCATACCTTGACGAGGATGTTAGTGTGGGAGAGCTCTATGAGAGACATAAATTGGGGATTTTAAGATTTTACTTGTTCACAGAGCACCTTACAAATGGAGATGAAGTGTTCACAGATGAAGAGATGACAGAAGGAACTGATGAACAGACAGATGCAGCGAGGCTAAATGAGCAACCGAAAAACACAACAGAAGATAATGAGCAGCTGACACAAAAATCACATGACGGTGAACAGCAGACACACACTGTGGAAGCTTTTGTCTCTACTGCTGTAGAGACTGTCGATCTCACATCTTTGTGTGATACATCAGAGATCATTTTTGGCCCTTTGCGAGGTGGACCATTTTTAGAAGATCTTGATGACACAATCTTCCATGAGCCTATAGAAGAGGCACAGGTAAACGTCAATTCCCACAGCTCAACTCCTGTCCATTTTGACACAGTGCCTGCAGGCCCATTAAGTCCTACTTATGAACTTTTGCATGTGACAGTGAAACTGCACAGAGTCAATCTCTTGGAGGAACTGATTACCCAATTCAAGGATGAAGCGATGATGTCCTACACTGTGAAATACAGCTTTATTCATGAAATGGGGGCAGATGCGGCTGGCGTGTCCAGGGATGTATATGCTGCCTTCTGGACAGAGTTTTTAGACTGTGCAGCAGAGGGTGCAGATGTGAGGGTGCCATCCCTATCCCCAAAATGGCAAGAGGAAGAATGGAAATCTGTTGGTAGGATAATGGTCAAGGGATTAAAGGACCATGGATATTTTCCTTCTCGGCTGGCTCAAGCTTTTACAGCTGCAATCACATTTGGTGAACACACTGTCTCTCCCGATTTACTGTTTGACTCTCTAATGTTGTATCTTAGTAAGTCTGAGCGTGATCTCTTGTCCACTGCTTTGCAAGACGCCCTTGATGGTGATGATGAAGATGAGCTTCTTGATCTTATGGATCGCATGGGAGTAAGAACAGTACCAACACAAGAGAACTTGAAAGCTGTGCTTCTCCAAGTGGCCCACAAGCAAATAATCCAGCAGCCGAAATATGCACTGGATAACATTGCAGCAGTCGCACAATCAACTCTCAGGGAGTTCTTCCTCAGTGTGCTGGATATACAGAAGTTGTATGAGGATCTTAAACCATCAACACGAAAAGTAATAAAATTGATCACAGCCTCTCCAGCTACTTCAGCAGAGAACCAAAGTTTGAGATTTTTACATCAGTACATCAGGGGATTGGATGAGATAGGCCTCCGGAAGATGTTGAGATTTGTGACAGGGTCTGATGTCATCTGCGTTAAAGACATTCAAGTCATATTCACCCCTTTGGAAGGGTTATCAAGGCGGCCTATTGCACATACGTGTGGCCCAACTTTAGAGCTGCCATCAACTTACAACAGTTATCCTGACCTCCGAGCTGAAATGGAGGCTATACTGTCCAGCAACTTCTATGCAATGGACATTGCATAGAAGTGTCTCACTCACTCACATGTACTCTTCCCTCTTGCCCAGTTATATCCTTATCAGTGCCAGCTGTTTACCTTTAGATAGTGTGTGAATGTGAGACAGAGCACATAGGGGAAGTAATTCACTTAGGTGGTGCATTATGAGCGCAGGTTGATTAATTTTATTTTATTTTATGTTTTTCATTTTCAGTTTTATCCAGAATGTCATTACCGTACTGTGGAAACATGTTTACTGGCTGATGAACATTTTGTTGATGCACTCTTTCAAATGCCATTTAGTTTGCCCTGTTTGTTGTGGGCCCAAAGTGTGTCAAAGCACATTTGGACATGCTGAATAGTTCCACCATGAGGACAAAAGTTCCATTTTGACAATGGCCAAATGTTTTGCAAAGTTCCATATGCAGTTGCTGTTATTACCAGACTTAAACTGCCTGTAGTAACATATTGAGTGGCTGAACATTTTGTTAATATACTTTAAGGTGCACTTAACCACAAAACAATTGTAAGTCTTTTACACAAAGTTATAAGTGCATGTGAATACATTTTAATTTTTAAGTGATTTATTAGAGACATGTACCAATGTTTTAAATGTACTTTTATGTAAGCCATCATTTCTGTTAGCAGTTTAGGAGCATACTTTTTCTGACAATTTAAAAGAAATGTTCTTGTAAAGTTGCATTTTCATTGAGAAATTATAATTAACTTGGACCCTGAGGTAATGTCAGGTCATGTTAAATCTTAATATTATTGGCAGTGACTGGAAATCTGTTCTAACATGCAGTACTGTACATTAGAAGGTGTTCTGCTTTTTACAAATAAAAAGCACAGGTTTCTCTCTGGTTTTGTACAGATTTTTTTCAAACAAATCAGTCTTTACTGCTGTTAAAGGGTTAGTTCACCCAAAAATGAAAATTCTGTCAGTATTTACTCACCCTCAAGTTGTTCCAAACCTCTATGTGTTTATTTGTTCTGCTGAACACAAAGGAAGATATTTGGAAGAATGTTTCAAAACAACTTGAGGGTGAGTAAATACTGACAGAATTTTCATTTTTGGGTGAACTAAACCTTTAACACACATGGATCTTGTCTCACACAGTAGAATTACTGAGTTTTGACAAATGCACTGCAGTTCCTGCATTCACCGGCACTCTTTAGACAACATATTTAAACCGTCATACATTACCAAGTTAACCAAATAGGCCTATTTCCTACATACTGTACACAGTAAATCACACTGGGGAGAAAAAATGTTGTACTGCACTGGTTTACCATTTATTTATATGATGCCAAATAATTGTGTAAAAGCACATACACACGATAACAACATACAATAATATGTTTGATTTAAAGGCCATTCAAACATCATGGTTGCCCTGATTACAATGAGCCCAAAGTGTGTCTGACCACTTCTGGTGATACAAAATAGTTCCTTCATAAGGACATATGTGCCAATTTTGACAACATTTGATACCTTTCATTTGCAGTTACAGGATTGTTCCCAGTTGTGTGGTTTAGATGTATTTTTTACATAATGATGAATAAAAAGAGATGAAATGGAGCTCATTTGGAAAATGTAAATTATGAAAGAGTTGTCTATTATTGATTGCTTAAACACAGTCTTTCTGTCCAAACTGAAATTCTGTTGTTGTTTTTGGCTATGAGTGGGTGCTCACATTCAGTCATTTGATCCAGTATAACAACTTATGATTATTAAATTTGGGTACGTATGTAAGCACGTAAGAACAAGTAAAGATCAATGGCTTCCTCTGGAGAGGTTGGTGGGTGAAGACTGTTTTCTGCCATTGCAAGACAACAAATGTCAAACACTGTATTATCACAGGGATATGGTCCTCTCTCACGACATTCCTCCCTACAAGCCTGTATCTTCTGTTGGGATGCCTCTTTAAGGTACTCCCTAGCACCAAAAAGTTGGGGAAGAGTGTACATCATCAATGGACGTCCATGTGGAGACACAGCATTTCTGTGAGTGTTCCAGAGGTGAACAACATCCTGTAGTTCTCTCTAAATGTAAAGAAAAAGAGTGGAAAAGTAAAAAATAATTAGTCCACACTGTTGCAATACCACCTGCAGGCAAAAATAAATGTAGTTTTTCAAACAGTTTCATGCATGTTAAATTCTATATTTGAAATCAATACATCTCTGCATGTTAAGATTTGTGTTATATAATCAGGGTCAGATAGTAAGTCATCCCTCTCTCACATACTGTGTCCCACTAATGCAGAGAAACTATTTTCTTTCACCAAAATGTACATAAAAATACTAGAATGTAATGAATAAAAGTAGGGTACCGGTACTCATAGTGTGGTAAATTTTCCTAGTCAGTGTTTTACTATTATGATGTTTTGGGTTAATATTAATAGCAGTTTCATCAATATAACAGGATTAATTTTACAGCTGTATTAATGTTTGTGTTGCATTTTATTGTTAAAGATGTAGGCTGCTGCTAATTGACTTTATGCACAGCTGCACTACTTCCTGAACTTAAGCCAGCTCCTTGTTTCCTGTCTGCCATTATTGGTCAAACTTGACTAATTCAGGTGTGACTGACCTCAGTACTCACGGCAACAATAATCAGACACACCTGAATTAATCAAGTTTGGCCAATAATAGCAGACAGGAAACAAGGAGCTGGCTGAAGTTCAGGAAGTAGAGCAGCTGTGCATAAAGCCAATTCTAATCCACTTATCTCTTAAAAAGTCAACTATATGTAGGAAAAATTGTGATCTACAAATTAATTTAATAATCGAATTAACCCCAAACTTAAATGGTTGTAATTCAAGAATGCTTTTGAATATATACCAAAATTTGGTCTTGTTTTAAAGAAAACACTCAGCAGATTATTGCTGAAGTGAAAACACTTCAAAAAATAAAAGTATGAAAAGCTATGGAAGTTTAAATTTACATTAAATTATACTGTACTATATATTTTCTATTTTAAATAAAATATTTATTTTACCAAATATTATTTAATTATTTACAAAATATTTTTTGAGGTGCACTCTTGTCATAAATTCATCAATTACTCTTCCTAAATAATTTGAAACACAAAACAGGGGTAGAATATGTATTTAGAAGTCTTAGACCTTTCCAGCAATATATAATATAATAATTAGATTAGGGTTTAAAAGAAATATAGAAGTAAAGTTAGGCCGTCCCGCTAGAAGGACGGTGACAGTTTTAAATAACTAAAGGTTATCGCCCATTTGCTTCTGTTATGGAACAGCTGTTAGACCAATGAAATTAGAATTATGCTGCATGTCAACATTTTGGCGTATGGGCAAATAGTAGCTGAATAACATAACACAATTTACATGTCTAAAGCGCATTTCTTACCTCTATTATTTCAAGACATGTGAACTGTATTAGACTTTTGTCTAGGAAGTCACCGGTGAAGTCGTCAGAATCTTTTAGATCTTGAAATAGGTTGATCCAGAACTGTGCATGCTGCTTACTCAAAAATCCCCACCACTGCTCTATCCGTTGGTTATGATTGCTTGAGCCATACAAATAGCAATTTCTCGAAAAATCATCCGTATGATCATGTCTTATGAACATCTGCATCTGTTCAATGTAACAGTTTTCTGTCCCCAAGTCTGAGCGAATTCGGGTGGCTGTCCCATTCCTTGATAACACCGCATCAATAAAGTATCCAGCGATGACCTTGGGATCACTACTTGTAGAGAATGCATGTAGCCATATCACCATTCGTGAAAACCCGTCGATTGCACCATTGATGCAGATGGTTTGAGTTTATCGTATTGTAAAGAAGGACTCGTTATTAATGTCTTGGTAACGGGGATCAGCCAATCAGCGCCTTTGTTTTGGAGTCACGGAGAGGACACCCGTTTTGCGCGAACTGATAGGTTTCGTTTTTGAGTTAACGGTGAGAGTGGCCGGGAAGCCCATCGTAGATATTTCTGAGGAGAATAGTTAATAAATCAGTCATCTGTGCTGTGATCCGTGCATGTGTGCGTTCAGAGACATGTGAGTACCCTGGTGAATGTTTTACATATGTGTATTTTGGTGTATTAGGGTATTTATGAGTGTTGTTGAATCTGAGGTACTCAGTTGAAATGCAGTATTGTTAGCTAAAAGTTCGCTAACAGCACATTAATGCCTAGTATTATTAGTAATACACTACTATTGTGCTTATGAGTATTAATCTGATACTGCATGCATAGTTATTCATGGAGTGTTTATAATGATTATGTTGTCGAGAACTATGTGTTTTGGTTGTTGTTGTTACTGAGAGAAGGCTGTTTAATTTAATAATAAGCTAATGTGTGCTAATTTGTGTGTAAATGGTTTGTGTGTAAACAAATATTATTTGTTTATTTGATTTAAATAGCTAAAGTTACCTGAAGTGAAGATTATACTAAATGACAAGTATTAGCTTTAATAATTGTATCCTGACAGCATTTTGTTATTTGTATGCTGATATTTTTCTTTTCTTTATTGTTGTTGTTGTAGAACCACACATACTGTACATTTTAAGAAGACAGACAATCATCTGTTGGCTGTCAATAAACCCCTTCAAGAGAGTCAGAGCATCCAGTTGCATTCTTACCGATGCACCACAGTGGTCACTTATCCCAACAAGCTATAATTACAGTCCTAGCTATCAAGGTCTTCGTTTCAAATTGGTCCTTCGAGCCGGATATTGTGTGACTGCTGTGAAGGAGGATGTTTCCATATGGTAGAGGTGAGGCGACGCCACTTCCTAATACCCGTCCGAGACGTCAGACACGTCCGCCAACCTGGTTTGCTGATTATGAAGTCTCCCTGCCTGTTGTGGAGGGACCCCCCCAGGCTGCATCACTCTCCTCACAGCCCTCCTATCAGATGCAGGAGCCCTATTACAGTAGTGAGAGGATTGACCAGATGTCAAGCACTTCACAGCTACTTGATCAGTGGAACCGGACTGGTGCTCGCTCTAAGTATTCCAGAGAGTCAGTGTTCTCGGGACCCCATTATGAGAGCACCCCAGCTAGACCACTGTCTCACAGAGTAACCCCAAGGGCTTCACCTGAAATATTAGATGAGCTGCAAAGGATAAGAGAGGAGAACCAAAGGCTACAACTCATCGTAATGGAGATGCAAACACAGCTTAATCTAAGTAAAGGTCCAGATCCATCACAACACACTGCATTCTTCCCCCCGGAGTACAGCCCGCACGGTCAACCCTCAGTGCACACTGCCGCCACTAGCTCACTAAGACCCAAACCACAGGTTACGGCCCATACTACATTAGCACCTGTGCAGGTATCCAGTAAAGTAGAAGTGGACGATGAAGACTGGCCCCTTCCCCCCCCTCCAGTGGCAGATGATGAGGAGAAACCACAGCTATCCACTACCACACTGCCCACAGAGTTAGTGGTAGAGTTGATGACATGCCTTAAGAAGATGGGGAGTACTCAGGAGCAGCTTCCTGAAATGTCAGCATCAGAGAACAGTAAGCTGGTTGCATCTGGTCGGATGGTGAGGTCACACCAGCCGACAGAGCCGCAAGACCGTCCACGTATTTTACCTCATGTGATTCCTCTTGAGCCAGGCGCAGCTGATGGACAGAGACCTGAAAACGTTCACTCCCGTCAAGCAACAGAGTACATCTATCGGGGTCCTCAACCCACCATCCCAGATTTTAGTAGAGGGGACCCACGTGAGTTTGCTAGGCTGAAGACCTCCCTGGAGAATCTCCTCCCCAAGGATGCTACGGAGAGGTTTAAATATCAGATTCTAGTTGACCATCTAAAATTTGAGGAAGCACTCCTCATTGCTGACTCATACACCAACTCTACCCAACCCTACACCGACACTATGGCCTCCTTAACAGAGCACTATGGGCAACCTCACCAGCTAGCATTAAGGCGGATTGCCGATCTGATGGAGGCGCCTAACATCCGTAGTCAGGACATTGCTGCCTTTAAAGGATTTGCCCTCAGAGTGAGAGCCCTGGTTGGCATGCTCGATCAGCTTGGAGAGAAAGGCCATATTGAGCTTCAGTGTGGGTCCCATGTCACTAGGCTTATGTCCAAGCTCCCGCAAGACATGCGGTCTGGATTTCTGAGACACCTACAACCCCTCGGCATCCGTGTCCCTACGCTGTTAGACTTCGCTAGCTGGCTGGAGTTTGAGCTGCAGATTCAGGAGTATGGATATGAATCCCGACCCAGAGAGAACCCGGAAGGTAAAAGGGAGAGACGGAAGGACTCAAAGTATGGCAGGCCAACCACAGTCCTCCATGGAGCGGAACAGTCTTCAAGTGGCCCGACAGTCCCAGTATTCCCATCCACTAGTGCTAATCCACAAGGCAAAGTCACTCTGCCCTGCCCATACTGTACCGATGCCCTGCATTACTTGAACCAGTGCAGTAAATTTAGCCAGCTAACAACTGAGCAGCGGAGAGATTGGATCAAGAGAAACAGGCGGTGCTGGCGTTTTTGTCGCTGTCATCAGGCCGCACAGTGCAAACTAAAGGCCAGGTGCAAGAATTGTAATGGCAGACATCTGGAAGCTCTCCATGACCTTAACATTAGGTCAGCCATAGTGACACCAGCCACAGAGAACACCTCCTGTTTAGTGAGTACCGCCAATGAAGTTCTCTACTTGGATAGGCAGTCTGGCTGTAGTCAGGTGCTCCTGAAGGTAACAAAGGTTGTGCTACATAATGGAGAGCAGGCCCTGGAGACCTACGCGATACTGGATGACGGGTCAGAGCGGACTATGTTACTTTCAGCCGCTGCTAAAGAGCTTAAACTTAAAGGGGAACCAGAGAGCCTCGCTTTAAGGACTGTGCGCCAGGATCTTAGAATTCTGCAGGGTATGTCTGTCTCCTTCTCTATTTCTCCTGCCAGTCACCCCCAAAAATCCTACAAGATCAGGAGAGCCTTTACTGCCGATCAGCTGGGGCTGGCAGAGCACTCACAACCGGTGAAGACACTCCAGCGCAAATATAAACACCTGAAAGGACTCCCTTTGCAAACATTGGAATGTGTTCATCCCATGGTCCTGATTGGGTCAGACTACACGCATCTGATCACGCCAGTGGAACCGGTTCGTATGGGTCCGCCTGGAGGACCAGCCGCTGTAAAGACCAAGTTGGGCTGGACTATTCAGGGCCCAACCAAGATCCTCAGACAATATCTCCAGCCACAGCAGTGTCTGCATATCGCCACACAGTCACCCTCTGCAGAGCTCCTTCATCATGTTGAGAAGCTATGGCAAATGGACGTATTGCCTTATAGGAGTGAGAAGATGGTGATTCGCTCAAAGCTCGATCAAGAGGCAGTTCGCATGCTGGAAACCAGGACAGTGAGGGTGGAAGTCGACGGAGTCAATCGCTACGCCACCCCTTTGCTTCGTGTAAAGAACATGCCCTGTCTCCGCACCTCCAAGGATGCTGTACTGGCGAGTCTGCGGAGCACCGAAAGACGTCTGATGAAAGACCCAATACGAGCATCAGCCTATGCAGCAGAGATCCTGAAATTGGAACAGGCAGGGTATGTGAAGAAGGTAACAGAAGAAGAGCTGAGTTTGTCTACAGAGTCCTGGTTCATACCTCACCACATGGTGAGTCATAATGGAAAAAACAGACTCGTATTCAACTGCTCCTTTGCATACAAGGGCTATAACCTGAATGAGCTTCTGCTACCAGGCCCCACATTGACCTCCAGCCTGTTAGGTGTCCTGCTAAGATTTCGGGAGCATTCTGTCGCTATAAGTAGTGACATAAAAGGCATGTTCCACCAAATCAGGCTGCTGCCAGAAGACAGATCCCTGCTTCGTTTTGTTTGGAGGGACCTGAACAAAGAGGCGCCACCCTGCACTTATGAGTGGCAGGTCCTCCCCTTCGGAACGACATGCAGCCCCTGCTGTGCAACGTTTGCACTACAGAAACATGTGACCGACCATAGCCAGCCAGAGGAGGACGTCAGGGTGGCCGTTGAGCGTTATTTTTATGTGGATAACCACTTACAGAGCCTCTCATCCCCTACAGCAGCAAGACAGCTGGTTGACAAATTGAAGATGATGTTAGCCTCAGGGGGTTTCGAGCTGCGTCAGTGGACTAGTAACGTTCCAGAAGTTATCAGTCACCTTCCAAAAGGGGCGAGATCCGAGAGCAGTGAGTTATGGTTCACAGAATCAATGGAGGATCCACAGGAGCTCGCACTTGGACTCCGATGGCTTTGTGCCTCAGACACTCTGGCATACAAGTGCAGCCTAACTGACCGTCCCACACCTACTATGAGGAATATCTATAGTACACTGGCACGTCTTTTTGATCCACTTGGCTTTCTCGTTCCCTTCGCCACGCGGGCCAAAATCATTGTCCAGCAATTATGGAACAAAGAGAGAGAGTGGGATGACCCGTCACTGCCAGATGACGCCCTCAAGGCCTGGATAACCTGGGAGAATGAGCTGCAGCACCTTCCAGAGATTGTCTTGCCACGATGCTATTCAAGCCCCCCTCTGGATCACCCAAGTTCCGTCAGGAGCCTCCACATATTCTGTGACGCATCTGAGAAAGCTTACGGATCAGTTGCGTATCTTCGTACGGAGGGTTCAGGTGGTAAAGTGGAGATGGCCTTTCTGACTGCACGTTCTAGAGTGGCCCCTAAGCGCCAGCAGTCGATACCACGATTAGAGCTATGTGCGGCGGTGACTGGAGCTCAGTTGGCAAGGTTGTTGCAGCGTGAACTCACCCTGGTACTTCATGAAGTGGTACTCTGGACAGACTCCACCACAGTTCTTACATGGCTTCAGTCAGACTCATGCAGGTTTAAGGTGTTTGTGGGCACCAGGGTCTCCGAGATCCAGGAGCTGACTGAGGCCCAAGCATGGAGGTACGTGGATTCTGGAAATAATCCCGCGGATGACATTACGCGCGGGAAGACCCTAACGGAGCTGGGGGGGGAGAGCCGGTGGAAGCACGGCCCAGCATTTCTGCGCATGTCATCTGAATATTGGCCTACTAAGCCAAAGGCTGAGCAGTTGGACGCCACAGAGCTTCGCAAGGCTACATTCTGTGGCTCTATCACCACCACCCCTCTTCCGCCCTTACTTGATGCCAGCCAATTCAATGGTTTCAGGGACATGTTAGAGGCGGTTGTGAGGTCTCGCCATGGGGCGGCAG